ATTTTGAAAGGGGGACTGAAGGGGCACCGAGCTGCCGGGGTCTGCGTCATTATCGATGTAGATCTGTGCTGACTGTACAGAGCGGGCGTTTGAAGCATGAAGGCTTTACGGGGAGACAGTCATCGCTCTCACACAGGGAGAGCCAGACTCTCAACTGTCTCCTCTGAAAATTGGATTTCTATCCCCTGAGATTAGGATCAGGCTTCCCCTGCTCCACCGTGGCTCTCTTAGAAAAACATGAGCCCGGAGGAGCTCATACCTCACAGCTCGTCGTCATCCCGCTGACCTTTGACCTGCAGGGACCGGCCGTAACACTGAACCAGCACCGGGGTGGTTGTCCCCCAGGTTTCTGTCTGGAAACACCCACCGCAGGTGTCATCCGTTTTGACAAGGACCCGCCCCCGTCTAACTGATGCCAGGAGCAAATGAGAAACACCACAGTGGAGGACAAAGAAGTGCCTGTCTTCACTGAGACAAGGACGTGGCTTATCCCCACTCCACTGATCCCACACATGCATTCTACGTTACTGTACCATCCATGGTGCACAAGCGATCTGACATTAAAACACTGCCCTGCTGGTATTTGTTGTGATAAACTGAATTTATGGCAAGCAAACAAAATAAATTGTGAAAGTTAGATGCAATACTTTATCATCGGTGTGTTTTCAACTGCGGGCTACAGGACATGGACAGTTAAGGTCCAAGACAATCAAACTCCTCCACTTGAGGCAACGACTGGCCTTTAAAGGAGAAATCCACCTTTTTTCTTTGTTTGAGAACATTTCCCTTACAGGAACTTGACTCTTATCCAAGAAGCCTTAAGATCAACAAACAAATAATTACAGGGTGTGTTAGAGTAGGGCTGGGCGATATGACCTCAAATCAATCACGATAAATTGCGCAGTTTTTCCTCAATAAGGATAAATGCACTGACATGGGAGTTGGCTCGGAGCTCGTCTGCCTGGCTGTGTGTTTCATGGACGGGACCGCCTGTGGAACTGATTGACAGTTGCCTTTATTATCTCTGCTTAATTCTGTATGTCTGTTTCTGTCTCCTTGAACCCCAGTCGGCCTCGGCAGATGGCCGCTCACACCGAGCCTAGTTCTGCTGGAGGTTTCTTCCTGTTAAAAGGGAGTTTTTTCCTCTCCACTGTCGCTACAAGCATGCTTGGTCAATGCAATTAATTGGTTTTCCTTAGATAGAAAACTTTGAATCAGTTTGAATGTATGATCTGGTGAACTGTAAAGTTCTTGATATGACATGTGTTGTAAATTGGTGTTATAGAAATAAACTGAATTTAATTGCTCTGGCTCCTCTATCAGAAATGAGGCATGTGCAGGAAATGCAACTGATTCATTTATAAAAAATGGAATCACCGCAACTCTAGTTACAAGTGTTGACAGCTCCTTTAGAGCTCCACAAGAGTAAAGACCTGCTATAGACAGAGCAAGAACAAGGACAAGTCTGCATTGCTCCCCTTGATCTTAGGTTTGGCAATAAAACCAAGTCTCTTCTCAAACACCCGAAGCTTTCCAAGTTCAGCTAGAAAGTTTGATCCCTTGCTTGTTTATGACACAATGCTATCCAGTTCTCTTTGCAACATTCAAGAGGCACGCCAATGACGACAAAGTCTAGAACCTTCAACATGTTGAACATATAACCTTGTTGACAGTTAAATATCTGAAAGGGCGTTAACTTTGGCTCATTGCTTTCTACAACCTGACTTATGTCCTTCTGCCTGAGAAATAAAGGTCTGTAAATGAGCTGAACCACATCCTCCCATAGATGTCTTTGCTTCTCTGAAGAGTAAGAAAAGCATGTAAACTTAAACTACATAAACCATCATCCCTGATGGCAGGATTGTAGGTTCTGACTAAAGGGACTCTGCATTCTCCCAGAGGTGTTGTCTCTCATCTTTTCCTTTATTCACATCAGATAACGCCAGCATTTCACAGATGAGTCACACATCTGAGTCAGCAAGAGGCAGCAGGAATGGCCTACAACTGCCTAAAGGCACATGGACTCTCGCCGGCTCCCTCTTTGGACAATCAATCATCATCAAAGCCGACAACAGCCTCGCCCTCAGAGAACTCAAAGCCAATTGGACCAATAAAGACAAATTTGGAGAGCCATGAATTGACTTATTGACTTCCAAGGCATTACAGAAACATCAACAACTCCCCACAATGACAGTAATGAGACCACAGCATCTCTAAACAATGCAACGTTACTCTGTGATCTGGAGTCAAGAAGACTCGCCCGGCGACTGTTGGGGATATTTTATCTTCAAAGATCGATCATATAAACTAAACAACACCTTCACTGACTTAAGAGGGGAAGTTATGAAGCTTCAACAGCACAGGAGGGGGTGCATGAAAAAAATCAATTTTCCTCATTCTCAGAGTGTTCGGTTATCCCTGTTTTTGTCAAAACATGGCGGATTCTACAACCCTTTATTATGAGTTCCCGTTAATACCCTTGAAGTCTCCGCCTGACCTCAGATGTCAGCCAAATATCTTTAAATGCACCACTGTGTCTTATTTAGTCCACCTCTTCTCTCACAGCAGGGCGCTGACTTCACATATGAAAACACGACTTTGCGGCCGTTTGTTTTGCCGACTCTTCTCACGAGGAGCAGAAAGCTGAGCTCAGCCAGGCGGCAACAAAGGACACTTTGGAACGGATGAGAAATGTAGCACCTATTGGTTCATGTTTTGTTCCAGCTGACCATTACTGAAAACTTACTGAGAGATCTCCATGACTAAATTAAACAAATGAAGTTTCATATTGAGTGTTTCTTATTATCACAGCACCACAAGAGGAATTTCTTTAGTTTAAAGTTGACTATTGACAAAGTAGATTTTTTTTTTATCACTGTATGAACAATTCTTTAAATTTAAGCCGTTAACTGACCCAATTAAATTGACCAAAAATGCCTGAAAAAGCAGAAATTAAATCAGCTGCTGTTGTTTAATCCTTGGGAGGGTCTACCCTGCCATATAAAACACCGGTGGCAGCATAGTTGGAAGCACCACACGGGACATAAAAGTTAACCCTTTATAGTGCAGTCAGTGAAATACTTTGAAAATGTATTTTATTGAAATCCAGGACAAGACCTAATTACCTTTTTAACATTAAAGAAATATGGATATTTTGATGGCAA